ATATATATATATATATATATATATATATATATATATATACGTTCATGAGCATCTATTTCAAATAAATTGCGGCAAACTAACCACCTCATCTGTTGTTTTATTGAATATATATATATATATATATATACATATATATATATATATTAGCATATAATATAAATATGATATTATGTATATATAAAATAATATATATAATCATATATATTTTAGCATATAATATATATATATATATATTATAGAATAACGAGAAAAGATAATATAGGCCTAGATGATATTTGCGAGGATACATAATAGAAAAATCATGTTCTTTTGGCTTCATATTCAAATACAAACTAGATTATATAAGATAAACATGGCCTAAAATTATGATTCCAATTCTTCGATTAGTAATTAGTTTGTCAGATGTATTGATTACAATAATTTACATAATCTTTGTTTATTATCAACCTCGCAAAAATAACAGTAATACTGATACATATTAATAAACAAATGTGATGATTCGATATCATAATATCCAATTACATATTATTGCATGAGGAGCTCTGCTGCAACTTCGCATTTTATAGCTACTTTTCATTAACAATGAATCATTAGGATCACTGAATACAGTGCAGTATATTCATAATTGTGGAATCATCTTCACGCGTCATCATGTGAACCGATTCGAATCCTATCACATCATGTCCTACAGGAGAACAACTAAATGTCAGTCAACTTATGACTTAATTTCTGTAATTTACATTCGTTAGATGAGTCGCACGGCACCTCGGTTTCTGTGGATATTTTTCGAGATGTAAATTGTTAGATCATAGTGTATGCTCAGATATAGCAATGTGCTTTAAAAATCTGACATATCTTGAACGAGAAACATGGTGTACAAGTAGATGTTTTGGACGATATCTGGGCGTTTTATATAAAAACGTTTGGCTACATGATGAGTATTAGAAATACCTGAATAAACCATAAGTTTGTTAGCTTGTCTGAAAAGTAAATGGAAGATACAAGAAATTAAAAGAAAAGTCACCGGTAAATTAAGTTCAATAACTAGCCTAATTTTAAATGATTACTGATGGTGATTATATATTATTTAGTATTGTAGATTTAGCATATGGCATACTTCATTCGATTGGGTCGAAGACACAGCATTTATACGGCGATGATGACGCTTTGATGAGCAATAATCCCTCGGGAGTCCATCCCGTGACACCCGTTTAAAATATTCATGAGCGAGGCGCGTTCCTTCTGACTTCCTAACTGACAGCCTCCAAATTCTGAGTTGTAATTTCTTCTGACGTTTCGTTTCTAATTGAACATGGAGAAGATCAGATTTTGCGACGTGCTCGCCATATTCGGTAAGTACAGTTTGACAATGTGTCCATCAGTTGATGCATGTTTCTCCTAGGCCTAAACCATTCTACTCCAGGCTAAAAACATTAGCATTTACGATGCTTAGTATGCATAAACAGAGAGAGAGTTTCGGATGAGGAAACCCAAACACAGTGACAGATTTAAAGGACAGTTATTGTTGGTGCAGACTATACATTGGAATAGAAATATTATTTTATTCTCAACATTTATCTTTGTAGTCACGGATATATTGTAATAGGCGTGTACGATTTTCATTTAGTAGTAATTTATCATATTATGAAATATGATTGTTATTTTCCTTAATGATAATAATATAAATAATAAATAATATTAATAAAATAATTAGGCATATGAAGCACAAATTTCAAATAATCGATTAATACAAGCACTTAAAGCACAGACAGCTTCAGACAAATATTGAAACTAAAAAATATATACATAGAAATTGTTACTTA